AATGCTAAACACATGCTAAAAGATATATACAACTTCATTCTTAGATCCAGACAATTTTCAAGCATATGGAGTGAAGCGATTGTAATTCCACTTCTGAAACCAAACAAGCCTCAAGATATACCCAATTCTTACCGGCCCATATCCCTTACCTGTACTATGTGTAAGCTGCTTGAGAAAATCCTCAACAAACGGATAGTATGGTTTCTAGAAAAACAAATGTTATTGAGCAATAATCAGAATGGTTTTCGTAGCAACAGATCTACCATTGACAACATTGTTGTTCTTGAATCGACCATAAAAGCAGCCTTTGCTAATAACCAAAAAGTACTTGCAGTATTCTTCGATATACATAAGGCATTTGATATGACCTGGAAACATCTAATTCTGAAAACTATGCTGAATATGGGTATCTGTGGTGACATACTAGCATTCACCAAGAACTTTTTAAATAACAGAACTATAAAAGTTAGAACAAACGGTTTCACATCCAATACTAAGAGCGTAGAAAATGGTACACTTCAAGGATCTGTGCTGAGTACTACACTATTTCTGATAGCCATAGATGGCATAACCAAACTTTTTAAACTGCCTATAAGATATCTCTTATATGCCGACGACCTGATTATATACCTAACCACTAATAACATATACACCGGCAAATCAATAATTCAAGAAACACTTAATAAAATAGAACACTGGACCATGGAATCAGGATTCCAATTCTCAGCTGACAAGACCAAGTTTATAATCTTCAGCAAATCCAAACTTCAAACAACCAACACAGTCCTTACATTTAATAATAACGAAATCAAAATGACAGACAACATCAAGTATTTGGGGATGATATTTGATTCTACTTTAAAATGGAATCTCCATATCAGACATATAATATCTGTATGTCAGAGAAGATTAAACCTCATGAAAGTACTAGCTAATAAATCATGGGGAAGCGACACCATATCTTTGCTAAAACTATACCAAGTCACCATAAGGAGTAAGATAGATTACGGTAGCATTTGCTATGGAACTGCAAGCCAATTTGTATTAAAAAAACTTGATGTGCTCCAAAACACAGCAATTAGACTCGCAATGAGACTTCTTAAAACAAGCCCTATTGACAGCATATACGTTTTGGCTAACGAACCGCCTCTAAGCCTCCGAAGACAATATCTAACTCTGTGCTACGCGGCGCGAACAGCAAGCACACCAAATAATCCAGCTTTCAACATCATATTTACCCGAGAGGATACTCATTCTTCCCACAACACCAAACATTTCACAATGGCAGAAAGAATCAAAGAGACTAACTTCAATACAGATCTCTTTCGCAGTATTATCCCTTGTTCATCAAACTCTCCACCCTGGACAGTACCACTACCAGATTTCGACACAACCCTCAAGATATATCAAAAAATGCAAACCAACCACAGAGAAATATACAGGGTGACTTTGAAGTTGAGTCATTAATTTTCAGATAATGATTGTAGAAGGAAGATAAACCAAAATATGTGTGTAAAAATAAAAAAAAAATTAAAAAAAAATTTTACCTTGTTTTATAAAATATCCTCCCGACAAGTATTTCAGTGCGGACCTGTATTTGATCGTGAGGTCCCCTGTGAGGTCTTAAGTCACCTGATTCACGAGCCCGTTGTACTACATTAACAAAGGCACGAGGGGTTGGTTGCACTCGATTGGGAAACCGATCCGCATAAACATGTGCCATTTTTTATTTCGTTTGAGCCACGCACTATTCACACGCGACTGAAACTGACTGTATGTATAACTGAACTGAATTGTAATCGTAAAAACATCGTTCCAAATTCTTTCGCTTTTTTGTTTCCGATGCGATGAACCGTTGTTGCCAAACACGAACACATGATATTATTGAGACAGGGCGGTACTCAAACTTCCAAAGGGCTATAACTTTGTTACTTTAATTTTACCAGAAAAATGGTAAAGGAAAAAAACATTTCTTTTGATCAGATCTACACACTGTTAAAATAAATGACTCAACTTCGAAGTCACCCTGTATAACAGATACCAAGTCATCATCGAGTCTCATCCGAACTTCAAACTGATTTTCACAGATGCCTCAAAGTCATCACATGGGGTTGGCTATGCCGCAGTCTCTGACAATCAACGAATATCCTCTTCACTACCACAACATTGCAGCGTCTACACTGGAGAGCTGACAGCCATCAAGGAAGCGCTCAATCTGGCACGAACAACAACAGATGCCAACTTCTTAGTAGTGACGGATTCGCTGAGTGCACTGGAAGGTATCAAACAGTTGTACCCTCGCAACTGCATACTCAGGGGAATTAAGGACATGCTGCGTCTGCTGTACAACGACAAGAAGAGGATAAAGTTTCTGTGGGTACCCTCACATACTGGAATCCCAGGCAACGAAGAGGCTGACAAAGAAGCATCAAGAGCGGCAGTCCCTTCAAGCAGAAGTGTGATTCGTACACCCTACCAAGGTTTGAAAGGACTAATAAAAGTGCACATAACCAGTCTTTGGCAACAGAAATGGAATAGCAGTCACAGCAAACTACTCGCAATTGCTCCAGATGTCAACACGCGATTCACCCTACCTTCAGGAAGAAGGAACCAGATAATTATGTCACGTCTCCGGATAGGCCACACACTAGTGACTCACAAGCACATCTTCGAAGGAACCGATGCCCCAGTTTGTTCAACGTGCAACCAGCGGCTCACGGTGGTTCACATCCTGATGGAGTGCCCTACGTATCAAAATGCCAGAAGTCTCAACCACCTTTCTAATGACATCAGTGAAGTGTTACTGCATCAAACCGATAAACTTGTGAAATTTATCAATGACATTGACATGTACTTCAATACATAGATTATTGTGCCGTCCACGCCGCTAATAACCCTACGAGGTTGATGCGGTACTATCTGTTAAATAAAAAAAAATCTGTTGCTTTTATTATACCATTGGATAGATAAATAGTCACTGCAACACGTAAGTATAGTACTTTAATCAAGTTGGCTGCGATTTACCTATTTTAGCAACTTTAAAGTTAGACATGTCGAGACCTGTCAAGAAGGCGAAAAATCTCTCTGTTTTATTGCTCGGGAAAGATATAAATTTTGTGTCGAAATATTTAAATATTTTAACTTTTCCAATATGGCTGGTAATGAAGCTGGTAAGTACATTATATTGATGTATAGATTTATTTAAAATATAGTTATAATTAGATAATTTTTTAAGTTAAAGTGACTATTACCGATTTTTTTAATTTTTTTTAAACTTTTTACTTTGTTTAGAGTTTTACAAAAATCACCTCTCATCACCCTAATTTTTTTTTTATTTATTGTTTATCTGTCCATAGTAAGTTTTGATAAAAAGTTTAAATCACGCCATGCCACGTCTAAGGGAGATATATTTTTTTTTAGGACATGGTGCTATTGTCAGAAATAGAGATTTGATTGATGTGTGGATAGAAGCACCGAGAGGAAATAGAAAACAGGTGGTTTATGAAAAGATATTATCTCTTATTGATATAACAGATGAACCTTCCAAACATCTTAAAAGTAATATTATGAAATGCAGCCAGTTTTTTGGGTTGAAAATGGCAAATAAATGGCAGAAAGTAGGACAATCACGGAATCGACTTTTACAAAATCAGGTATATTGGTTAGACAAGATTATATATAGAATAAATAATGATTCTGAAGAAAACACATCTTCGGATGAGGAACAAGAACCTCCTTGTCGCTCAGTTGGACGGCCACGGGTGCCATTTGAAGAGGCATCGAAGGAAACAAAACGAAGACGTGTATCCGAACTAACCACAGACAGATCTGCAAATGAACTTCAATTTGCTGTAAATGTCGTTTCTGGAAGCAATCACAGTGAGGTCTCGCCACAGATTTTTAGTTTTAGTACAGCTGAAGCTTTAGCCCTTGGTAGATTTGGATATATCCGTAAGAAAGTATTTGCTACTTAGGTCTGTTATTAATGGTAAGGCCCAGAACTGCCTTCCTAGTTATAAAGAATTACAGAAAACAAAAAATGCTATCCTCCCTTCACAATTTATTATTACTGAAATTTCTGCAGAAGTTGATTTGCAAGAACTTCTACAGAAAACAGCTGAAAGTATCCTTGAAATAATAAATTTTGAAGAGAGAGATTGTCGAATTGAAGTGGTATGCAAGTGGGGATTTGATGGCAGTTCTGGGCATAGCCAATATAAGCATAAATTTTCTGATTTAGAAAACACCGACGAATTTCTGTTTCTTGTAGCAATGACGCCACTCAGATTGATTGATATGGAAACGAATAAGGCATTGTGGAAAAATGAGAGCCCTTCATCTACTTTATATTGTAGGCCGACCAAGTTTTTATTTAAAAAGGAAAATGCTGATTTAGTGCGGAATACGGAAAAGGAAATAATAACAAAAATTGAAAATTTGATTCCTATTGAGATTAAAACAAAAGAAGGGCACTCTTATATAATTGAAGTTGATATGATGTTAACAATGTTGGACGGCAGTGTTGGAAACGTTCTATCAGAGACAAATTCAACTATGAAGTGCATCATTTGCGGAGCCACACCCAAGGACATTAACACGCGTTAGCAGGGATTAACCGTCCTCCTAACGTAGACAATTACCGGTTTGGTTTGTCAACTTTACACTGCTGGATTCGTTTTTTTGAATGCTTACTCCATATTGGATACCGCCTGCCAATTAAATCTTGGCAGGTTCGTGGGCCTGAAAACAAAGCTATAGTCGAAGCAAACGAAAAACGAATCCAAGCAGAGTTCAGAGCCAAGCTGTCTCTAATAGTTGACAAACCAAAACCCGGGTATGGCTCCTCAAATGATGGCAATACGGCCAGAATTTTTTTCCACAATCCACAAACAAGTTCAGATATCACAGGAGTTGATAGGGAATTAATCGAGAAATTTGCGATCATCTTAGGAGTGTTAGCTAGTGGTTGCGCTATTGATATGGAAAAGTTTGCGTCATTGCTGGAAGAAGCAAGAAATTTGTATATCCACCTTTATAAGTGGTACAACATGCTAAACACGGTACATAAGGTCCTTGTTCATGGGTGTGAGATAATTGATGCATTTTGTTTGCCCATTGGAGAACTGTCGGAGGATGCGCTTGAGGCTCGCCATAAAGAGGTTAGGAAACATCGATTATCTCACACCAGAAAATGTTCAAGAACAGATACGAATAAGGATCTCATGCGTGTTCTTTTACTTACTTCTGATCCTTTTATATCCTCAAAAAGAAAGGTGAGCTCAAAAAAATATAAGAAATGCAAAGAGGCAGTTCAGAACTATTTAAAAATGCAAGAAAATGATGATTTAGGTATTGACTTAGGTACAATAACGAATGACACAGCACCGAGCAAGAAATCCTATTCCGATTAGAATGAGTACATTTGGTGTTATTTTTTTTAATATAGTTTTATTATTATTATTATTTCATACATTACCTACTAAGTAATTGTTATTTTGTTAAATATATTTTTTTAAATAAAAACCTAAATATCAATTTCAAATTATACAGATTTATTTTTTATTTGAATTATTCTTATTATTTTTTCAAATAGATAGACAAATTTAATAAATCATTTTGCGCCCGCCACAAGTTGGCTACATTATCTTTTAAATCATTCGGTAAAGATCTTGAAAAATAAAAGCGTGACTTTTTTGTCTCTCTTAAGAATGCTATAATAATATTCTACCTTATCCCAATTTATTCGAGATCATCAACTTAATATTTTGACTTTTACAAAAAAAAAACGGTTTATGCGAAATGCATCCCGCCTGCTCCCCCACCCCTTCTTATTATTTTAAATAATTTTTGTCATACTTTAGAAAGCAACTTAAATAAGTAATCGCCCTGCGTTTACAGAATTCAAATAGGACCACTAGTTTTTAAGATATCGAATTTTGTCCCTGATCCCTATAAAGGAACACACTGTGCGTCGTAAAGGATGAACCGATTTTGCTTTCCCTTTTATTATTTGAAAGGTACCTCTATGAGTATGGTTCTTAGCTACGATGAAAGAAAACGTCTTCGGCCGTTTAATCTCAAGATGAACAGCATCCCATCTTTTCATCTTTTGCAATTTGTTTAGGAAGATACATTTATTAAACAAAAATAGAGCTATTTTCTATAAACAATGATTTCATTCTTGCAATAGAGAGTTGTAAAAATAATCTGTCCTTATTTTGAGAGATTCCGATTTAGCATAATGATTAACAGTCTCCAATATTCTTCTTGTGTGCGATAATCAACAATTAATTATGGTTTGAGCTCACATGTAGAAAGGTTTTCGAAATTCATTCAGGTTTTTCTACAAATATCTGCATTTTACATCTTTCGTACAAAATAAATAATCATTACTGAATTCTGCAGATCTTTTGCTTATGTAATGAATTTAGAACTTTCTAAATGAGAAACAACCAATGCTATTGTCGTCCTCAGGCAATCACAAATGTGGTGTTTATAATTCCTTTTAGACGAATTTCCATACCTATTTGGATTTTTTTTTCTGGTCAATAGTACGAACCAGCGTACTTTTTCGGACAATGAGAGAAAAATGATTTCTGATTCAAGTACCGGTTACAGAGTTCGTCGTTTCGACTTGAAACAGTCTCCAAAGTTGTCCCATGAACCAAGGTGAATAGGTTGCGCTTCATAATAATACTTCGCTATAGTCAACGTTTTGTGAGAAATACTATATTAGATTATCTGGTTGGCAAATAGCACATTACTAAGCGGTCAAGTAACAATGAGTAAACAAAAGCTACACAAGAGCATAAATTGTGTACTTTTCATTTCCAGTTAAATTTCGGTTTTACTCTCCATTAAAGCATTCGGCCAGCTCACTCAATATTGTCCTGCCGCATTGTAATTGTACGAATTGAGTGTACAAAGTCACCTATTCATATAAAAGTTTAATTAAGCTCTGTTTTCATGTAACTGCTAATACTAACCTTCCATTTGAGAAGCTCAATTTATGTTCAGGTATTTTCAATTTAGTGCTCCTGGAATTACGTTAGATGAGATTTACGCGTTGTGAAGAATCATTGAAACCCTCAGAGAGTATGTTATTTTTTCATCAAGTAAAACGTAAATGAAATAATTTTTTCCACACGGGATTCTTCTTTCGGAGCTGTTTCCTACTACTGGAGGTCAGCAACTACTATATATTTGCATGCTTCTTGATATTGGCATTCACATCTGCATTACCAAAACTAATGCAAAGATTTTGCGAATATCAGAAAAAAATATGAAAGTAATTTTATGTACTTAAATAAAACAAAACTATATCTGTTTATCTTTCTACTGTACAGAAAAACATGATGAAAAAATAAACAAGAACTAGATCCTTCAATAAACTTTTTTCCTTAGTGTTTCGAATATATTGTGCTTTAGAGAAAGGTCCTTACTCGTCATTTTTTGAATGAATCAAAATGACAAAATTGTGGCACGAATATTATATTCTAACGTGAAAATTTGGGGATTATAGAATAAAAGACAAGTGCATTTTTGAAAATTACAGTAAATAAAAAAAAATAAGATTTAATTGTGCTATCAAGAGAAATCTAGAGACACATCATATGTCAAAATCCATCAAGTCGTTTGAGGTGTGAAAGGGAGTTTTTTTTTGAAAGTGCGTATTCGTTATCGTTGAGTTAAATGCTGAAGGTTTTGATTTTTAGGTATTTTTAGCCCGATATCAGGGACGTATCAGGGCAGATGCTTGGAGAAATGAAGTATACAGAATATAAATACGCCATTCTGTCAAAACATATTGACCGTAAAAAACTTAATTTATAGATATGCGTCGCTTTCAGAATACATTCCCCAAAGTTTTTCACCAAAACTGCTAGGGTGATTTTAAAGAAAGTTTGTCGTCAACAATCAGTGCTCCATAGAACGGCTCAACAAATGTTAGACTTGAATCAGTCTTTCGTTTTAGTTGGCAAACAGAAATAACACAAAACGATATAGAAATAAATGTAATACGTACAAATAATTCAGTTGCAACGTCATAAACATTTTAAAAATCGCTAACCTTCAAATCTACCAGACACAAGCACCCCATTCTATACTAAACATTATGAAGGCAAAGAAGATATCTGTTTGAATGTTGTCTAAAGCGAGTAGAGATAAATTATTTCGTGTTTTCGTCCTTGAACCGCGCATGGGTTCCAAATTCAACAATATTAGAAACATAAATACCGCTAGCTGTTTTCTCTTTTCACTCAAGTATTCACTCGCATTCGTCCAGAACTTTAATTGAGTTGAGTTGAGTTGTTGGAGAGAACAGTACGCCCTGAACTCTACCACATTTATTCAGCAGAACCAAAATTTACCAATATAAAAATAATATATATCTGTAAATTAACGAAACAAAAACAAGGTTTCTCTATAATATATGAGCGCCTAAGTTTAAAAACTTGTATGCTATCATAACACGAACGTATCTTCAAATGAGATAATCGATCTGCTGCAAGTCTTATATCAAGCACACAAACATAGATGAGTAAGGAATTATGGGCACTGGTGCAGACAGAGAATTTTGCATAAAAAGGATACCAACAAGCTTAGCAGCAAAGAATAAGAACTTGCTTAGCTTCCTGACTTTTGACTAGAATATTTCACCGATATTAAGACGATACCTTTCTTTATTGAGCTTGAACAAGTTTTCACATATTGCGCAAGTTTTCGAGATTTAAAAAGTGGGCAGACAGACCTTCAATACATACATTGTACCTAGGTCTACAAATACAAAGATATCAGCTCCAGAGGAACATGTGCCAGACTTATAAGAAGTACTTGTAGAATTGCCTCCCTCAGAAATATTATCATTATTTTATTGTAAGTACCTAGGTATCTAAAAATACACACATTTTAAAATAATCAGCTGAATTGAGATGTAGCGAAATAGATTGCGGAGCCGGAGGCATGTATAACTATTATAAGCCATTGTATTACTTGCCAATGGACATACGATACCATACGACACCGGTGGATCCAGGATTTGTGTGTGGGGGAAGTCACACTGGTCAAAAAACATCATGTTCAGGAAGATGTTCTTCTCGTCTTCTGGGGGGCGGGGGGGATTTGTCCGTCACAGTGGCAGATTTAAGTAATGGCAAAATGGACATTACCGCCTAGGCCTCCCAAGGCCTGCAAAAATCAGCTCTAAATCAGAGTGTTCTTATATTCTTTTAATGGCCATCTGCGTAATGTTCATGAAATAGTGCGTTAGCATACAGTTTGAATAAGAAAATTTCCCGTCCATTTCTTAAGAAATTTTTTCAAAAATTTCATTTCTAAAAAAATTACCAAATGACCCTTTTATAAATATATATATATATATATATATAACTTGAGACGTGGTCATTGTCGTCTAGACCAGTTGGGTGAAAAAATAAAGCTTCCGCCTTTTGTTGGGTACTTCGACAAAAATTTTAAGCAAGGAGGACTCTTTATACTTTTTTTATTCTCTCTAGCTTTCAAAGGACTTTGCCATCATCATCAGGAGCTGCAATTACGTTGATAACAGTAGCAACAATAGTGTAAAATGAATTCAAATTAACTTAACTTACAGTAGTATGTGAGGATGTTGCTAATTGTTGTTTACGTTCAGGATGAGGGAAACACCCAGTAACATGGTGAAAGCTGGATAAATGGTACAATGGTCAAAATTATATAAAATACGTATACACACAGCTGTGTGACAAGAACAAGTTAAAAACAGATTGAAAATTATATATATATATATATATATATATAAGTTATGTACCAGTCTATAGAGAAGAATATGCTGAACAAGGACTTTTGCCTCCACGTTCCTTTCTTATCAGTTTCAGTATTGTATTTCATTTGTTCTTTACTTTGGTTTGTATAATGAACTTTGCAGTCAGTCTCGATTCAGAACTCATTCAATTAACATCATTGTATTTGGTTACTAACTTGAGACGTGGTCATTGTCGTAGATATATATATATATATATATATATATATCTTCGTGGTATGAATCAGCCTTTTTCAGTCTAATAAAGACTCTAATGCGTCTATTACAGTCTTTTCACGTCTTCAATGCTTATAACCATAAACTTTCACAATACTGTGCATTTTTTTATTTGGTGACATATCTATTTTCTTCGTGATAATATCGTAGAAGAAATTTTTTGAATGTATTATTATATGCATAGAAGATGAAATTTCAAGAGTGGGAGCTTCTGGCGAAGATATAATGAATGCAAGATATCTCCTTTCCTCCATTTGTTATGGTGGCATTCAGTATTGAGCGTAATGAATATTGTGCAGGTTCCAATGCAAAAGAAAGGTGCATTTCAGCAGCATTAAAAAAACTAAAAGATTTGAGGAGCGAAAGCACATAGGATAACGAAAACGAATTAGAAACCAGCGTCACTAATTTGATAGAAAAATATTCGGAATTTTTCACAA